TTGCCCTATAGGTACTAAGCACGCAGCATTAAAATGAGGAAATTCGAAGTCAATATTCTGTATTACAACATGGCCCAATATCTAGCCTTAATATTGACAAATAATATTCATATTGGACCACGCAATATATTAAAGGGTACTAGTGTACCCTACAGGAGGAAATAATTATAGGCTCAAAAGGGGTCCCACAATGTTGCCCTATAGGTACTAAGCACGCAGCATTAAAATGAGGAAATTCGAAGTCAATATTCTGTATTACAACATGGCCCAATATCTAGCCTTAATATTGACAAATAATATTCAAATTGAACCATATTAAAGGGTACTAGTGTACCCTACAGGAGGAAATAATTATAGGCTCAAAAGGGGTCCCACAATGTGGCCCTATAGGTTACTAAGTACATATATACGAAAACAATTCATCTGGGCAAGCAAAGCAAGTTCGGACTGCGGAGAGATAGAAAAGAACTACGAAAGTAGTTCCGAGGGGTGGCGACCAGGGAAAGAGGAATCCTCTTTTTTGATTTGTCAATAAATTAAGATAATTTTCACACCACATCAAACATTAAATGTTGAAATCTTACCTGCATGTCCCTCCGTTTTGACACATGTTCCTGCTGGCCTCTGGTCCGCACTCGGCATCGTACTGGCACTCCTCCCCGAAATACTTCGAAAAACAACTGCAGTAGTACTTGTCGTACTTGGCGGACGCGTAACAATTCCCATTAAATGAGCAGTGGTGATATAAACAAGCATCCTTTCTTTCACTTTCATTCCTGGACAGAAATTCATAAGTGATATTAAAACCAAACACATCCAACAGGTACTCTCTCACCCTCATGTGGATGTTGGCGATCTCGCGCACATTGAAATCAAGCACCAACACGTTCTTGTTGCTCACCAGGTAGGTGGGTTCGCGCTCGGAGCTGATGGTCCCGAATTCGGTCTTGCCCATCTTCACGTTCGCCGAATAATAAGCATATTCGGTGGCCTTCAACCCCTCCCTCATATAAAACTGCGTGAAATACACGGCGACCACTTTGTCCGTGGGGGCTTCGATGACCCACTGACAGCTAATGGGGACCGGATAGGGGTCAGGGAAATAGGGGGTGGTGATGACACCTTTCGGCTCCTTCATGACATGCCGACAAATCGATTCCACCCGCGATGCTTCTAAAAACACAACACACAAATAAATTATCCAGAACATTATGCGGTCATTTACTCATGTCTCCAAAAGTAAACAATCGAACGTGTTAGAGCATGCTGAACCGGCTGACGAGCAACATCTTGACTCGACCATCGTTTAGAAAGAATGACGGCCGAACGCAAAAAAAAAATAATACAAAGTATTCCTTCTTTTCCGAATCGCTTATTTCCCTGTGACGTTTACCTTCATCACATGAGCAGCGAGTGTGTGACGTCACATTTCGTGCAGGTTCTTCCGACATATGATGCTTTGTTTTATTATTTTTTTTCCTTCCTCACGCAGGTAAAAGAAAGATTTGAATGCGTGATTATTTCTGTTCCTTTTTAGAATTCGATTTTTGTTTTCTTTTGACTTGTTTGCTTCTTTCTGTGGTCGTGCACGTGTTGCACCAAGATCGGAGGAAAAGGAAAGTATAGGCTGCGGTATTTCCAGATGACTGTTTAATGCATCATTGAATGAGCTTTTGTTAATCCAATGAATGGGCATAGCGGTTCATCTTAAACTTCGAAACAAGAACTGCACACCTAAAATAAATCGAAGAAAATAATTTATATTTATTGAATATTGAGATAACAACAAAAAATAAAGTTTGATAAAAAAAATTTTTAATGAGTTTAGTTGGGCACTTGAAACTTTTAACCTAACTTAACAAAAATTTCCATTAATTATTAAAAATAAGTATTTTCGTTCGTGGAACAATGGGTTAAATTAGGCGATATATGATATAAATATAGAATATTTTTCATTATTATTTTGTAATAATTAGATCAAATTATTAGAAACACTGTAATTTCTAATAATTTGTTCAATTTAACATTTTTTGAATAGTCATCAAATATTTTCAAAATCTTATTAAACAAGATATTCCACTAATATCTTCAATTTTTAATAGTAAATAATTTCAAAATCTAATTTAACATACTACTCCAATACGTTTTTCATAAAACCGTACATTTCCAATACATAATTTAACATGCTTTTCTACTAAGTTCTTAAAGGTAAGTGTTTTCAAAATCTAACTTAACATGCTCAGTTTTTCTACAATTAAAGTGAAGTCATCTTAAATACCGTTTGAGAGAAAATTAAATTTATTGTAGAAAAAAAAATGTTTTAATTTTGTGAATATTCTTTCAAATATATTAAATTAATTTTGCTCCTAGATCAAGTATGGGGAGAAATAGCCTTTGTGGACGATTTTTTTTATTAAACTAACCTGCATTTGAGTTGCATGGGGAGGAAAACCATGATCCATTTACCACTGAGAATATTTTACATCAGCACTGTGGTCGGCTAGAGCCGGGTGCGGAATTCGTATCGACCAGCCATGCCTGGGATTTGAACCTGGTTCACCTCTTTGGGTGGCGTACACTGTATCCCTGGAACCACCAAGGCTCATTATGAAATATTAGTGACTTTCCCATTTTTTAATAGACCTTTCAATATGACGATAATTAACCGCTTTTTACTTTTTTAAAGGTAGTATAAATGAATGCCTAGAATTTGGTAATTATATAATTTTCAAAAGCGTTAAATTCCTATAATTTGAAACTTTGTCTGGGGACCGTTTAAATATTACGGAAGTGTATTTTATTTCTTTTGGAATTAGTAGCCAGCATAAGTTAGCTCTTTTTCTTAATGTTTAGAAAAAGTTGTTTGTCATCAAAGATTTTTTAAAAATTAATTTAAAAAAGTTTTATGAAGTTATTTTTGCTATTAACAAAAGATTATACTTTATTAAGAAATTTAACCCTTTTCAGAATCGGCGAAAGAAGCGTTTTTTTTCGAACTCTTACGCTCCGACGCCATGCGTACTAGTACGAGAGAACGGTTCTAAAGGGGTTAATGCAGTCCATATGGATTTATTATAATTTGTAATTATTTCAAATTATTTGTTATAATTTGCAATTATTTGTCATAATGTGTAATTATTTTAAATTATTTGTTATAATTTGTAATTATTCGAAATTATTTGTTATAATTTGTAATTATTTCAAATTATTTGTTATAATTTGTAATTATTTGTCATAATGTATGATTATTTGAAATTATTTGTTATAATTTGTAATTATTTGAAATTATTTGTTATAATTTGCAATTATTTGAAATTTTTTGCAATAATTTGTAATTAACAATTTTTTTCTTTAAAATCGGCTATACTTCTAAGATAAAAACATTAAATCAGAAATTAGGAAGCGATGCAGAAAATGTTCAAATACTCACGCGCTTTTAATGCTTCAAAGTAGATTTATTTTTTTAAAGCAAGGCTTATAAAAAAATTTGCTTAAATTCCTATTTATTTAACAGGAATAGCTTAAAAGTTGCATTATGACAAATTTTAATAATGCATAGTTTTCCAATGCAATTCGACGAAAACATCTTCAAATTTTAAGAATTAAAACGAAAAAAAAAACCAATAAATTTTTTTCAGAAATTTTTTTTAAAAATTTTTTTTGATATTTCATATCCATGCTAGTCTTTCTAAATTAAATTTTTCATAAAAAGAAAAAAACAACTTTTAAAAGTATTCTGAAAACTTGAAAACTGTCTGGCATAAAACGTTAACAATAGAGTGACGACACACTGGATGTGATGTCACATTTTCATAAGAAAAAGAGAGGAAAAAATAATGACACATTGAAACAAAGAGAAATCGAAACTGCTATTTTCGTGCACAAAAAAAAAAATAAATAAATAAAAAAACTACCTTAGATGCGTCAACGAAATTTATACTCCCCAATCCTAACACTCAGTCTGTTATTGCTAAGGTGTATGATAAATCACAAAAGGTTCTATTTCAGACAATAGACACAGAAACAACACACACTTTTACAGACTGGGACTTCCAGATTTCCGATATTTCTTATCTCCCTTCATTTATGGCGTTCTATAATAAAAGAGATGAAATAGTGGGGGAGGGAGAGGAAATATTTTCAGTTTTCTTTTCATTTTTATGAAAAGAATGAGCGGCGCCTTCACGAGCAGACGACTATTTATCGGTCTTTAACGCTAGCTTGAGTCCAGTGTTAGACAAGTCTCCGTCGATTCGCTGTTGAGCTTATAATCGATCAAGTTATTCCTTGGAGTGATGTTAAAGTTTGTCAATAAAAAAATAAAAAGTGTTAGCTGCCTTATTATTCTAATTGAAAAAAAAATTAAATTAGGGTTGTTAACGAAAAGAAGAGAATAGAACTATAAATGTTACGATAAAAACAATTAAAACGTCACGTGATGTTGTCAAACGATATTCTTCAGACGATAATTCTTTTTTTATTTTTTATTGTTAGGTCAAAGTTGTGGCATCAATAAATTGAAGTGGCGTAAGTTTACCGATGAAGGCCGTTGTAAAGAACTGTGTCACCCAATAAAGCCAATCATTAATCAGAGAAAATTATAATTTCTTTTCATCAGGGCTTTTTTCGTTACTTTCGCTGTCGAATTAAATAAACAAGAACAATTTTAGTTTTTTATTGTTGAAATCAAATACTTTCTTTTAGGATTATTAATTAGCGTTGTAATTTTTACGTTAATTGTTATTCATTAATACATAATTCTGTTAATGCATAATTCCATTGATTGTTATTTTGCGAAAAGAATTAATAACGATAATGTTTTACAAATATTAAAATATATACTTATAAATATGACATTAAATGATTTTTTTTTTAAAATTCTTAAAACAATATTAAGAAAAAAAAAGCAACTGAATTTTGCTTTTTCTTTTTGGAATTTTTGTATTATTAAAGTCTAAAAGTACAGTGATTTTCAGTATTTCAATATTCTATTCTGTAGTAATTAATGATACAGAAAAATTATTTTATTAACAAATCAACTATTATCGAATGTAGGTAGTTACATACAAAAGCTATTTACATTTTTAATTTGTAGTAAGTTACTGGTTAAACTTGTAATTTATTTTTTAATTTAAAATAATTAATACAAGATTTAAATTTTTCAATACTGAATTATTCATTTTAAATATAAGTCTTTCTACATAATTTTTTCATTTTTAAAAATTTTTTTTTAATGTTTTCACTAAATTATTCACATTTTATTTTAAAGTGCTACACTAAAAATATGAAATTAGAACAATATTGTTTTCAAACATATTTCAAATTCCGTTACGTACATAATTAATTTGAACCACAATGTCAAAATTTCTATAACTTGATCATTGGATTGATTGGTACACTTTGTATAGATAAAAAAAGAAACTTTTCCTAATTTTTAACGGTTTTATTCTATTAAATGTTGATTCATTCAATCAAATGTTAAACTTTGATGTTTAGAATTTTTTTACATTCCGCCATTTTACAAAAATGAAAGGTAAAATTTCATATAAAAAAATTTTTGCAAGTTTTTTTTAAATATAAAATCTGATATTTTATTTTTGATATTTGGTGTACACTATTAAACTGTCAATAATGCTATTTTATACAATTTAATTCACTAACAAATATTCTAAAAATATTCTCATTTAAATAAATTCAGTTATTTATACTTTAGCACGAGTTATTACTGTTATTATTTAACACCTTAGAATTGTATTTTTTTCCCCGCCTGAGACAAATTAAATGTCTTTCTTCCATTAAAATATTCGACGCAAAAAAAAATTTAACGAATTCGATCAAATAATTTTCACGTTGAAAAGTACTTCAAGTAATACAGCAAGGCTAAAGAGTATTATTTTATAGCTGAATGTATATACATCTGGGTTAGAATGTAAAACAAAAATAATAAAATAAAATAATGAGTATTCTATGTTTGCACAGTAATCGAGCCGTATGTTCAAATATATTCCAGAAAAACATGTTTGTGTTATCACTATAAGAATTTCGTTAAATTTTTCGACACAAAATAAGGATAATTAAAATGAAAAAAAAAAGAATCAATTTTTAAGAACCGAAATATTATTAGTTATAGGATGTCGTGTTTACTACCGAAACGAAGGCCAGCGTAGACTAAAAAAATACTGAATTAATTTTCAAAAACTTTTCTTATTAAAATTTTCTTATTTGTTACTGTGAGCATTCTTACAAGTTTTTATTTTTATTTTTTATTTCTTAGCTGTTTTTTTTTTATCTGTTTTTAAAAACAATAGTTGGAAAGAATTATCTAAAATTTCAATGCCAATAATAAAATATTTTAAGATTTTAACCATGCAAATTTGTGTACTGGGGGAGCACAGTTGTAAAAATCTCAAAAATATGGCCCAAATGATTTTTGTCTTCCGTACTGCTAAAATTTTGGATTATTGTTTTGAATATTACCCTAAATAACTAAGACTGTACTGTATTTGAAATTCGAAGAAGAATTAAAGTACTATAAAAATCTTAAAAATATCTGGCTAACACAAGTAATTAAAAAAAACATATAAAGAAATCAAGAAAAAATAATTGAACGAGACAATTTTAGGAATTAATTGATTAGTTTGGAGAGAGTTATATTTTTGTTGAGAATAGTTTTTGTTTGAAATTAAGGTATATACTAAATCGTTATGGGTACTTAAATTTATTTTTGCAAAGTTTATGCTAACCCGTTGCGGGTATTCCAATTTATTTGTGAAAAGCTTATACTAACCTGTTATGGGTACTTCAATTTATTTTTACAAAGTTTATACTAACCCTTTATGGTTATTTCAATTTACTTTAACGAAGTTTACACTAACCCTTTACGGATATTTCAATTTATTTTTACTAAGTTTATATTAANAAATAAAATAATGAGTATTCTATGTTTACACAGTAATCGAGCCGTATGTTCAAATATATTCCAGAAAAACATGTTTGTGTTATCACTATAAGAATTTCGTTAAATTTTTCGACACAAAATAAAGATAATTAAAATATAAATTTATTTTTATTTTTTATTTCTTAGCTGTTTTATCCGTTACGGGTATTTCAATTTATTTTTACAAAGTTTATACTAACCCTTTATGGTTATTTAAATTTATTTTTACGAAGTTTACACTAACCCTTTACGGATATTTCAATTTATTTTTACTACGTTTATATTAATCTTTTACGGTTATTTCTACGGGTGTTCCAATTTATTTGTGAAAAACTTATACTAATCCTTTAGGGGTATTTCTATTTTTACGAAGTTTATAGTAATCCGTTACTGGTATACCAATTTATTTTTACAGTCTCTACTAACCCATTACGGGTATTTAAATTTACTTTTGCAAACTGTATACTAACCCGTTACCGGTATTCCAATTTATTTTTCCTAAGTTTATAATAACCCGTTACGAGAATTTCAATTTAATTTTGCTTTGTTGATGTGTTGGGTCAAATAAATACGTTTTCATAAAAAAAAACTGCTTTTTCAATATAGATGGAATCGTTACATTACCAAAACTCATTTGACTAAACATAAATTTCCTTGCAAAATAATATTTGTACAGTTATAATCCTTCAAAATATAGTTTCAAAGCTAATATTAAATAATGTACTTTGAGTAATGTAAGGTTGAAACAATTTACGTAATGCTAAACAACGGAATTTTAAAAGTCAATTTTATAATAATTAGTTAATTTTATAATGATAAGAATAATTTTAAGAATTTTAAGATATAAAATGCTAGGCGGCTCTTCTCTAGAATTCTCGTCCCTGCAATTCTTTTATCATTTTCTTCTTTAAAAAACGATATTTTCCATAAAAACGGAGAATTTATAGCTCTAAATTTAAAGTTAGAAAGTTTTGTTAATATGTTAATTGCAATGACATGAGCGATTATCTAATCTTAAAAATAAACAACTAGACTAGAAAAAAATGGTAAAAACCAAAAATTAATCGTGTTTTGGGATTTCTGGGAACACTAAAAATTATTTTTACCTCAGCTTTTTGGTAATAATTTGAAGTAAAATTTCAAAAGAAAAAAAAATTACTATCATGCTGCTTTGTTTTACATACGATAAAAATTTGGTAGTCTTACCAAATTTTAAAATTAGTCGATTAAAGAGTTAAAATTAGCCAAAGTCAAAACAGTTAAAAAACAGCCCAAACAGTTAAAATTTGTCGCTAATTCTAACTGTTCTAGTACTTTAGGTAATGAAAATATTTTTAGTTTAATAATCTCTATTTTAGTAAAAGTTTAACTTTTGCGTTTATTTATTTTTTTTTCTTTCATTTCTACGTTAGATCATCTACCAACATTTTTAATAAAACACAAATTTTTAAATGTACAAAAACCTGACCAGAATTCAACTAAAACGGTAATTCAACTGTTAACTGTGTAACTACCAAGATTATACTACTACTATTATTGAATTCAACTGCAATAGTTCCAATTTTAAACGGAATAGTTACAGAATAATACTGATTTGTAGATTTAGTTATCGAAAATTAAATTTTAATCACAATATCTTACAACATAATGACTTAATTCCAGCACGAGTACTTAAGAAGTTTAAGAAATTAACTATTTTTATCTCCTATTCTGGTATTACATATCACATTAAAATTCGATTTGACAGAGAAGAGAAACGAATACCGTTGCGAGATAACTATAAATAGTGAGACTTCATTGTTGGAAGAAAATTTTAACGTCTATTGGTATTGTTACAAGTTATTTCTTTGTGTATACCTACTCGAATTCGTAGATAAATCGCAGTTACAGCTACATCTTCCAGATATAAAAAGAAATGTTCCTTACCAACCGAGAAGATGTAATTTATCACTGTCTCGTTTTAACCAATACTTTTATATTCTTTACAAACAGCCATTAATCATCCCCCCCATAAGAGTTTGTCTCGAACTAATATTAAAGCACTTGGCTCCACAGAATTTTACACCTGAATAGTCACGTGACTCTTAAGACTTACACACGACACTTCAGCCTGTTTACCATGGGGATATGTTTGATTACTCAATGAAAGGATTAATCATTCATTTCTCATAAGAGGCTCAAAAATATCCTTTAAATTCCAACTTAAAAGTATCAACCATATCAAAAATCAATAATTTAGTGCAATACAACAAACAAAAAAATTTCTGTCTAACTTTATATGCAATTGGTTATAATATGAAAAAAAGCACAACTACTTCCACT